TTGCAGGCTTCATACAAAAGGAACAGATTTCACCAAAAATAAATTGTTTATGTACCTCTGATACACAAGAGACAACAAAAGAACAATAAAGCATAAGCGCAAAAGAACCAACAACAACCTCATCTTTGCTGAGTTCTGATCCTCTCCAAGCCTACAATTAATATATCTCCATTTCTTTCTTTCCAAGTTTCAGACAAGTCAAATCCTTCTAAGTCTTTTCTTTTCTTTTTTCTTTTTCTTTTTCTTTTCTTGGGTAGGAAAAATCCCTCTGGGTCTTGGTGAATTAATTGATCAATTTATCTATATTTTACATCAGTTTTTTGACTTTCCTGTGCATTTATTAGTCCTCAGAGACCTTGGATTCACTCCACCAGTTTCAAAATTTTGAATGTTGAAGACATATATAGATCTAAATATTTATTTATCAACATATTTTCACAATGTATTAACTGATATTTTCATTTTTTCTTATAGTATATTGCAAGGAGAAGATATATCAAATTACTAATTATAACCAAACAACATTTTCATTTAGGGTATAGAAAATAAGGGAGTTCACAAGTAACGAGTATATATAGCCAAGAAAATTCTGAAGGTTCCAGTAGTAAATTCCTGCGATATGACCTCCCCTAAAAAGATTAATTTAATACCATTGGGGCCAATGGACCACATATCGGATATTAAATTGTTAAGAAAAGATATTACACTTAGCCAAAAGGCCAAGAAAGGTATGGCTTGATCAGTTTATTAACCTCCATTTTATAACCTAACCTTTCCACATATTTCTCCATGTTAACAATGTGAGACTAAACCCAGTCCACTTTTGAGTTCCATATTACAACGGAGTTAGCTAATATTTCTTCTTTAGCCTTAGTTAGAGGACCCACTTCTTCAGACTATCTGGATATTTCAGTGTTGCTTTACTTCATGAAGAGAAGAAGATGAGTGCTTTCTGGTTGCCACCAAAGCTGCCAAGTTCTAGTTCATGTTAATTCCCTTACTAGGAGACYCATCCAATGACTCTTCCCCAAATTCTAGTTGTCAAATTTTCTAAACTAAATTAGAAGATACAACTTACTGACTGCCACCAAGTCACATGCATTTAGTATATTTTAAAACCACTAACTGTTCAAAGAAGAAGAGTACATGCATTATTTGTATGCTTATTAGAACAATGCATTATTTTCCATGAAAATGAGGTTTCCAGTTTCAGTTACAATTGGCTGTTAGTTGGGCCTTTCTGTGTACCACAAGAATATGAATGATTCTACCTCAGCCCACATTTGGTTCTGCTTAACAGTAATTTGTATGCTTAACTGTTTTATATTYCATCTTTTCAGTCAACTTAACCAAAGAAAAAAGGTCAATGTAAGAGTGATTCTTATGGCTCTCTGATTGCATACCAAGTAATGAAACAATGCATTGTTCCTCTCAAGGTTTTTAAAACCTACCCGGACAACGAACTGGTTAGGGGTCCGGTTTTCGGGTTGAACGGTCTGACCATTTGAACCAAAAGAATGRCCCGTTCTAATAAAAAGAATTAAAAAATTTTAAAATTTTAAAAAATAAAAACCGGCCAAACCGTTGAATGATTCAACTGCCTGGATCAGCGGTTTGCTGACCAAATCAATGGTTTTGGGGTAAAACGGAACCAGTCACCTCCGGTTTAGAAAACCATGGTTCCTCTATACCCATAAAAAATTCTCCTAATTGCATCCTATCTCTTATATTAACATATGAAAAGTTTGCTTTGTATCTGTATCTGGTTGCTTCCTGGTAGCCTATTCTTTGACAACCTCTGTACCAAGAACTCTGTTCTAACAAGGATCTTCTCCAGTTATGCTCTTTTCCTTTCAATGGTTTAAGCCCTTTTTTGTCATGATATCTTTTGATGGGTATGGATATTTAGCAGTCATCCAAGACTAAATTCTCTGTAATACAAAGTTCTTGCCTTCTTGGTACAGAGGTTGAGATRGAGAATTCCAATTCCCCAAGCTACTCTTACAATTTGCTGTCCTTAACCTACATAACTCTTCCATATCACTTGACCAAAAATATCTCATTGTTATTATCTGGTCTAATTTATGACTGAAAAAGGCCTATTTGCCTTTCAATGGATGGCTGCATAGAGTGACATTGAAATACTGATAAAGCAGGGTCTTAAAGACTAAATATAAACAAAAAATCTCATTTTTGGGCACATGAATTGGATTTCTTGTCTAGTTTCTAAAAGAGACGCAGATCTGATCACTTCTCTTCAATATAAAATTTTAATCAAAATAAATAAATATACTTGTCTAGTTTCTATATGTTTTTCATTTGCACAAACATGAACTCATAAAGATCAAAGAAAGTTATCCAAGTGACAGTACCCATTATTAAAGAAAATTCATGCAACCAAATTCCTGCAATATAACCCAGCAAAAAAGAAGAAAAACAAGAGCCCCGATGCAATCTAGTAAAAGATAACAGTTGCAACTCAGATAACTAAAATATCGAAATATAAGCCATCTA